AAGGTTTCATAAGAAGGTAAAGAAGTCCCTGGTTTCACTAAGTGGGGGCGGATCCCGGCTCAAAAGGGTCCGTGAGCTAATGCGCTGACATGTTTGTGATCTGTTTTCATACCGGTGGTGGTTTACCAGGAAACAGAATGATCCAATTCCTTTGCTTTACAGGATGGTCCAAAAGTCAGCTCTTGGCCCAACAGTTCCAGGTTCTAGTAGCTGTCAATGCTGAGGGGAGTATTATTATTTTTTTGGACCAGCCTAGTTTAGCTGCTGTGGACTTTTGAATGCACTTGTTAAATGAATGGGGCTGGTGTTGGCTAACGCATGCGCAAAAAAATAATTAATATTTACAATCTATGGTTTCACCGCAAAATACCAGGTCCTGAGCAGGAACTAAAGCAGTCCAAAAGGCCTGAACTTTTTTCCTATTTCCGTTGATCATGGAGGAATAGGAACTAACAAAAAGAACCAACAAGTGAAAAAGGTTCCTGCCTAATGGTTTTCATTACCAACACATCCTCTGTTCCCGTCGTTCCACATTTAATCATGTCTGTTTTTTTCCTCGAGGTTTATTCTTTGTCTCACATTTGGCCTCAGTGCCGCAAACCCAGGCCATTACTTTTTCGAAGCGGGGTGTAATCGTAATCTTCATCTTCTTCATGGCTTTATTACTCCCTCTGCTGTCATTTCCCACCTCTCTCCGGTGCCTTCCCGTCAGGCCGGAATGCCTGGAACGCCTGGAGTCCTGCGCAGAGGAGCACACGGCCGCTCTGACACTCTCGGAGCTTTGACGCATGAGAAGAGACTGAGCGAGAGCGAGCCAAAAACCAACAACGCTGAAAGAGACAAAAGGCTGCAGATGTGACGAGAGCAGCGGAACAGACTGGAATGTGGACACAACTAAGATCTCACGTCCACCTGTGTTGTTGTTTTTATAACGGGGACGTGTTTGTGTTATTGGATTTTTGGGTTTTTCCTTGTTGTTCATTGTCTTGAAGCTGGGGTGCATAACTTTCACACGACGATGAATGTAATCGTAATGAAATCCATGTAATAGCTCCTCACACTCGAAACAGTTTTATTTAGGTTTTATTACTTGTTTTCACATGTATGCATTATTGGCCTCTGTCTTTTTTTGACAGAAAAGTGAAAGAGAGAGAAAAGAGGACCAACCTTACACATCAACTCCCAAAGAGTCAAATGGTGTCTCTCAAGGTCTTTGCTTACAATTATGGGAAAGATAACATGTAGTTAAAGGTGTATAGGAGGATTTCCCACATTTTAGGAAAGAACCGCCCTCTCCACCTATTGACCAAAACTCTCTGGTCTTATTTGACGAGCATGTATCACCAGAATGATTGACAATTGGGAGGACCAATAGTCTGGATGATCCACTCGGGAGTTGAAAATCCTTCTTTATACCTTTTAAGATACAATCAATTCTGCATGGTTTGTTCTGATTTGTTCATATAATGTTACTCTTTTGGTTGGGACAAAACAAAATGTATTATTAATGAAAAATCCCAGATTCAAACGTACTTAAATCTGGGATACCAATCCTTTTATTCTTCTTTGCGATTAATGCATTTGTTTGATCTTTTGATTTTTTTAGTGCTAAGATAAAATCCTTATTAGTATCCTCCACCAGTGCACACCCACTCAATCCAACCTCAATGAAACAGGAATGAAACAGCCCAAAATATTGTTGGTAAATATAACGGCACATAAAAATGAATGCGCAAAAGAGAATTGTGTTGTTTTGTTTCATGGAAAACTCTTGTTATGAGTCACACACCACCTTAAAGAGCTATTGGCTTTGATACAACGATTACATAAATATATAGTGATTTTACATTTTGAGCATCTAAATGGTTTTCTATCACAGGCTGATTCACTGCTAATAAGTTAAAAAGTGCAGAACTACAATAGAAGCTCCACCTCTTAGCCTCGAACCAATCAGTAGATACCGTCAATTAGCTGATTTGCATTGTTTTTTTTTTAATATGGGACATTCATTCAAAGCACAATTAAAGGGGGGGGGGGGGCTCAGACATACCTGAAACTCCAACAAGTTCATGATGAAAGACCGCATTTATAGTTACAATCGAAAATAAATGTTGTACATGTTGCATTGAAGTGGCACTCTGGGTTTCCTTTGATGCACGTACTGTACTCCAGTTTAAATGCATTTCAATTGTGTATATTCCCCGCCGCCTCGTCTGAGGATCTGCCTGCGTGTGGAAGCGCCTGACATGTGAGGCCAACTTACCACAACTATAGTATACATTTTTACGCTTCGGCCTTTCACAGTGCGTGCATCAAAGAGAGACGTTATGTTTTGGATCCCATATCAAGCGTCTGTTGCCATGGGAATAGTGGAAATGCGTGGAGTTAAAAATGCTGAAACTATGCCGGTATATTTATTAATTTATTTCTTATATAATTTATTATTAATATTTTCCATTCAACATCCAGTAATATTCTATTTGAAATCGACAACATGAATTCTCGGCTGCTGAGTGAAAAGCCAAAACAACAGGGCAATAGTTTAAACGTTGTGGCTTATAAAAATAAAAAACAAAAAAAAATCTTCAGTCCTTTTTTTGCGTCCCATGAGCTGCTGTCCCAGAGTCTGTTCCTGTGTCTTCCACACGGGGGCAGTGGTCAGCGCGGGGGCTGGTTAGGGCACGAGCACTGGCACTGTTCATGATGCGTGAGGAAGATCTCTCCGATGAGCCAGCGAACCCGCGACCGCTGACGGCGCTGGGATGCCATGTCTGGGGAGTATTTCAGCACCTAAGGGACAAAGCAGACAGTGATACCGTTATTGACTTACCCTGGTAATGGTAAGTAGTACACAATTGACTAATGACAGAACAAAATGTGGTTTTAGACATTGTCAGAGCGTCTTTTTCTCCGCCCTCTCTTGGAATACTTACGCAGACCCAAAATGTTTGTGAACCCCTGTATATGCAATTCAATGTATTCCTGTATGGCCCTAAATCACAACAGTAGTTATCTCGGAGGACTTTACACAACCTCCATTCGCAAACACAGATAGAGAATCAATTTATTCTTTTATTTATTTTGAACCTGAACATTACTTATTTTTATATAAAACAATAAAACATAGATATAAACTTGTACCTGATTCGAAAAGGGGTTGGATGAAGCAAATGTAGTTCAAACTCGAGAAATAAAACAGAAAACACATTGGTCTTGGTCCATAAAGGGTAGATGACCAAAGTCCATAAGTGTTGATAAATGTCCACATATAGAGTCCATTTTTGTATTGTAGTGATACACAAACAATGGGACTTCAACATGTGCATGAAACAGAAAGCTAACAGCAAAATAGTAGATGTAATTCTGTTAAATGAGCTAAATTATTGGGATTAAAAGAAGCCCATTTCATACTCCAGGTTCAGGTGGCATTCAAGGACTGGAGAGTGTGGCCAACTGCTTATTTGCAAATGTTCTTTTGGCTGTAATCAAGCACAGTTTGGCACGAAACCTTTCTATCCTGATGGAGCAAATCCCCCATTATGGTTTAGTTTTTGTTACAGGGAATCATGCTGGTGATGCCAACACCAGAAAGGTCCATTCTGTTTGACCTCTGCTGAAGGTTGGCTGAAACATATTCAGAGCTCTGGAAGGTCGATTGAGACATGTCATAAATATTACATACATTTTGATTTATAAAATACATATGTTTTTAAAGTTGAAAAATGTAAGATTTTCATGTCAAGTCATCATTAAATGTTCCTTATATGTCTAAAGGCATTAATAAACCATGCTCTTTTCAAAGCCGAGATATTTGATTTTCAAAATTAGTTTTACAGCCCCTAGATCGCATTATTTTTTTCATTGCGATGTCCCGCCCTCCACCGTTTCACCAATCAGATAGTCAATGATCCGGGCTGCCAGAACTCACCACTTTGAGCTAATCTCACTGCTGAAGTACCATGTGGCGCAGAACTAAAAAAGGTCTCGTTAAGATTCTCAAATCATTAACGACAAAACAAGGAATAAAACCAGGATTTCTATCTTTGTGAAAAAGGTGTTGGTTATAGATTTGTTGTTGACAAAACTCTTGTCTATTCAGCTGTTATGGTCCCAGCTGGATTCGTCTGCATATCTGGCAACCTGAGTCAGGGAGAGTGGGAGAGGCTCCAGTACCACTGTAGGCCAGATTTGTACACACTGCTCCTTTAATGCAAAGCTACACAGTGTCACATAGAGAAGTGACACAAATATACAATGAGGACTCGATCATCTCATGACCTACAAATGTTATTCTGCGTTATAAACAATTGACAACTGGTATATTTCCCATTTGAAGTATTTAACTTGTAATACTGCTCACTCCAACTTGTATTTTCTACCTCCAAATTGTGAACTGATTCAGAGGCTTCCACTTCACATGCAACCTGAACTCCACACAACCTTATAAACAAATTAGTTAGTTAGTTTGCCTGCGGGTGAGAATTAGCAACCTTGTATATATCCAAGTTCATTTGCTTGAACACTCTGAAGTTGTAGCATAGTCCTGTTTTTATTTTTCAACTGGAGATTATCCTAACTCCCAGTCTCTTGGAACTCGGCAGCTGTTTTATTTAGAAAAGAAAAACAACCAAAAAAGAGACCAGTAAAAGTTCTATTCCTGTATATCCCCTGACTTTTGTGAGACATCCCAAAGTAGATCTATCACACTTCTTTAGCTATGGGGCTGTCTGCACCATGTTTGCATATTCAGATATCCTAACAATTGCATTTAGAAGTAACAATGATGATGGGAACATAAAAATGCAAAGCAAAACCCCACTGGGAACGTATCCTGATCTCACTACCAGCCCGCAGCACTCCGGGAACATACACCGTTTATCAATATTCCAACTTTTAGTCATTTTTGTGCAAACACAAGTTTTTCCAAATGGCCTACATGAGTACAAATTGTTGTAAAATTGATGCAGTGAACTCATTCTCTTCCCATCCGCACATGATTTATGAGCGAGGAGAGCCCCGGCGCTGGGAACAATACCGTGGCAAACATCGGGCGCCTTTAGATGTGATCCCAAACGCGTGGATCGGTTAAACTATGGCTGTCAGACTGTCGCCACTGCATAAACGCCTCCCATTTACACGCACGCTAATATGAGGCCGAATTACCGTCTAAATCCCACTTTTGTCTCCGGTTCCATTGTACAAGTTCTTAACAGAGCTGATTTTTAACACCGGGAGCCATGCTAGAACAAAACCGCATTGAGATACAGAAAAGCAGGACAAAGCTCTTGACTGACAGGCTTAAAACGGAGCAAAAGGGATAAATTGAAAATGGGAATTGGGATGGGAATGATGGATGGATGGATACAGAAGAGTGGTGGAGGGACATTTTTTTTTTTTTTTTGGGAATACTGGATGGTTGGAGGCAAAGAAAGGCTGTGGCTGCCAGTGGTGCATTGCTGCTTCATTGTGAATGCAGGGGCTGGCTCTCGCACGCCCAATTTCTCCCCACTCCCCCTCTGCTCGCTAACCGACTGTCACAAGCCATCTCTTGCGACATATATAGAAAATGTGGAAAATAATGCAATTGCTGTATGAAAAAAACTGGATATTAAGCCAAATATATCACAATTAGTAATCACAAATACAGGTACTTTATTTTTTTATGGTACACACAAAAGGGCTTTCTGCATTTTTGATTTTGATAATAATACTGACTGTGATGTTGTAAAATGGCAATAACAAGTTGTAAAAAGCAATACCACAAAAATATTTCATGTTTTGCTATGGACATGGTTTTTTTTTTTCAGAATTGAGATGTTTGCTTCAGAATCAAATTTTCAGCACAAACCAGGACTTTGCTTTAGCATTTGGTGCAAACAAGTTACAAATATATATATATATTTTTATTGATCACAAAATAGACTTTATAAGATTGTGATGCTTGTGGTACTTGCTATTGAAACAAAACTGGAATCACTAATTAACAGTGATTACAATACCTATCATGTTGAAGCCCTATTAAATATGAAGTCATACTTAACTTCGGTGCCGGGCCCCCACTTGAGAAAGAGAGGACATTCCAGATTTTATTACCCATGAAACACTGCTCCATGCCTTCTAAACTCTCTCCTAACTCTTGTCAGTTTTCTTCTGGCTTCATAAACTCAGAAGACAGATACCTCGGCCAAAAAGCCATTTGACAGTTTATATGGGCCACAAAATATATGGCCTGGGCCTTCCCCCATTGTCTGTGTCCAGGCCCTTGGAAGGCAGAGCCGGGAGTTCTCCAGTCTGTATGACCGACCGGAACGCTCTGACCTCAGCTATTAAGACCTCAGTTTCAGTCATGTAAACATCATTACTTTCACTTTCACTGTCTGTGTCTGAAATACAGATTTCTTATTGTTTCAATAATCCACACCCATTTCACAATCAAAATTCACAATCAGCACCAGTTTTGGTTTTTGCTGTGGTAGAATCTGTTTGTACTGATCAATAAACTGTGATCATTTGTTGTTTGAGTGACACCTGCTCATTTTGAAACCTTGTCTGAATATACGGTATTGCATATATATATATATATATATATATATATACCTATACCTGATATTCATTTATTCTCTTTCCAGGGAGATTTCAAACGCTTAGACCATGGATGTCAAAGTCAAGGCCCGGGGGTCTGACCCGGTCCGCAAATGAATTATCTTGGCCCCCTGGGGTGATACTTGATTAGTATTAGAACCGGCCCGCACAGAGCCATAAGGAAATATTTGATTAATGTTCAGGATTAATGTTTTCACTTGAAATTACTCACAGAGCCATACAGAAATATTTGATTTTCATCATTAAATAAAACATGATACACTGACTAGTGGACCATAGTGCTCTTTTTAATTGGACTAAATGTTACCGCCCCCTTTTCAATCAAGGCATCTGGGCTTGGATTTCTTCTGACAAGCCTGTACGACCACAGACTGCACGACCACAGACTGTACGACCACAGACTGTACGACCACAGACTGTACGACCACAGACTGACGACCACAGACTGCACGACCACAGACTGTACGACCACAGACTGCACGACCACAGACTGCACGACCACAGACTGTACGACCACAGACTGTACGACCACAGCCCGTACGACCGCAGACTGTACGACCACAGACCGTACGACCGCAGACTGTACGACCACAGCCCGTACGACCGCAGACTGTACGACCACAGACCGTACGACCACAGACTGTACGACCACAGACTGAACGACCACAGACCGCACGACCACAGACTGTACGACCACAGACTGTACGACCACAGACTGTACGACCACAGACTGTACGACCACAGACTGTACGACCACAGACTGAACGACCACACAGACCGTACGACCGCAGACTGTACGACCACAGACCGTACGACCACAGACCGCACGACCACAGACTGTACGACCACAGACTGTACGATCACAGACTGTACGACCACAGACTGAACGACCACAGACTGTACGATCACAGACTGTACGACCACAGACTGTACGACCACAGCCCGTACGACCGCAGACTGTACGACCACAGACCGTACGACCGCAGACTGTACGACCACAGACCGTACGACCACAGACCGCACGACCACAGACTGTACGACCACAGACTGCACGACCACAGACTGTACGACCACAGACTGAACGACCACAGACTGAACGACCACAGACTGTACGACCACAGACTGTACGACCACAGACTGTACGACCACAGACTGTACGACCACAGACTGTACGACCACAGACTGTACGACCACAGACTGTACGACCACAGACTGTACGACCACAGACTGTACGACCACAGACTGTACGACCACAGACTGTACGACCACAGACTGTACGACCACAGACTGTACGACCAGCCGTACAGACTGTACGACCACAGACCGTACGACCACAGACTGTACGACCACAGACCGTACGACCACAGACTGTACGACCACAGACTGTACGACCACAGACTGTACGACCACAGACTGTACGACCACAGACTGTACGACCACAGACTGTACGACCACAGACTGTACGACCACAGACTGTACGACCACAGACTGTACGACCACAGACTGTACGACCACAGACTGAACGACCACAGACCGCACGACCACAGACTGTACGACCACAGACTGTACGACCACAGACTGTACGACCACAGACTGTACGACCACAGACTGTACGACCACAGACTGAACGACCACAGACTGTACGACCACAGACTGTACGACCACAGACCGTACGACCACAGACTGTACGACCACAGACTGTACGACCACAGCCCGTACGATCACAGACTGAACGACCACAGACTGTACGACCACAGACTGTACGACCACAGACTGTACGACCACAGACTGTACGACCACAGACCGTACGACCACAGACTGTACGACCACAGACTGTACGACCACAGACTGTACGACCACAGACCGTACGACCACAGACCGTACGATCACAGACTGTACGACCACAGACTGTACGACCACAGACTGTACGACCACAGACTGTACGACCACAGACTGTACGACCACAGACTGTACGACCACAGACTGTACGACCACAGACTGTACGATCACAGACTGTACGACCACAGACTGTACGACCACAGACTGTACGACCACAGACTGAACGACCACAGACTGTACGATCACAGACTGTACGACCACAGCCTGTACGACCACAGACTGTACGACCACAGCCCGTACGACCACAGACTGAACGACCACAGACTGTACGATCACAGACTGTACGACCGCAGACCGTACGACCACAGACTGTACAACTCACCTCATGCAGTTTTTGCGTGGACTTGGAGGGCTGGCAGGTACATCCCGAGTTCCAGTTATCCGTCCCACACCCGCAGTTCCCCCCGCAGCGTTGGACCAGCAGACACCGGGGGAAGAAGACCGCGCTGGTGACCCTCAACTCCTCACGAAGATTCACCGAGAAGTTCCGCGGCGTGCAACTGTATCGTTTGACGTCATCGTAGAGCCGGTCGAGATCAACTTGAGATGGACAAGAGCAGAGGAGAGAGAGAGAAAAAAAAAGGATTAATCATTTTTCACACAACCTCTATTCTATTGAGATTCGGCCATGGGACAATTTGCATAGTTATTACTTTGTTCAATTCTTCTGTCTGTCAGCAGAAATTGGTGGCATATGCAGGAGCCCAAATCGTTTTAAGTAAAGCGGAAGAGGCAAATCACACAAAGTGGCCGCGATTCAAGCCAAAAATATCTGTCTTATTGATTGACTAAATGACAGAAATGTGGGGAGACTATTGTAAAGCGACAATTGATGTTAGTCGCTTGGATAAGCGCGGGGGGAGAAAGATACTGAGATTTTGAAGGGCACAAAAGCATAAAAAAGATGCAGCATTGATTGGAGATTGACTTAAATGGCACCAGCTTCTCTCCGTGGAGGAAAACCGCAGCTCCCGACGCTGCTGCACTTAGCCGCTTAAATGTGACTCGGAGCAAAGGTTTTAAAAATAATTTCACAAGCATTAAGGGGGATTAAGGCATAAATGAAATAAATGGCTGTTTTGTTGACTGCAATGACACATCTTTTTATACAAGATTTATTCTCTTTATTTTAACATTGCCTTATTTTGTTTCACTTTCATACAGTTTGCGTCAAGGTTATTAGAGGTTGAGTATTACTCAGACGCTTCTACCTATAAGTAATATGTGACAAAACCATTTGGTCACTCCCCAACCTCTGGCACTAAGCACCTGATGGACAGTCCTGTCCAGTCTTTGATTCGTCCACATTAATCGTAGTCTTCCTCTTTCCTCTTGTCATTTCTGTGGGAGAAGTATATTTTTCGTTTGTTGTTTTATTTTTTGTATGTAACTCTTGTGGCCCTAACCACACGGGACCACAGATGGAAATTAGCCATTGGCTTTAATCTGGCATGTTTACATTTATGTTTCTAAAATGTCTGTTCATTGACCTGCACTGTCCCTTTCAAATAAATACATTTTCTGATCCTTAATGCTGACCATACACAATTGTGTAGGATTCTGATCCAGGTTTATAAGTACTTTGTCCAATGCATTCTTCAAAATCCTATTCTCTTTATTGCTTCATCACATTTGCCATCTTCTGTGACTTTATGACATAAATAGAATCTAAATAGAATAGTAAACAATTGTTCACACAAGCCTTGCATCATCTAACTATCATAAATATCATAAATGGGTCAATTCTTGCAAATAACAGACATATTTCAGCCAATATGACTATAATCTGTAGTATGAATGAGAGACCTAATCACAGGCGTCGGAGGAAGGACACAAAAGAGCAATCAGGAGCTCTCAGCGGTCATCACCACCTCCATTACCACCGACCTGTGGGAGTGTCCCTCTATTGATTTGGACTCATTCTAATCACGCACATGCATGAAGATCCAGGCCTGATTTGGGAAATGTGGCCCGCTGGGTTCAATTAGGAAGGTGAAATATCTAGTGAAATGATCCTCGATCCTCACACGTTCTGGACTGCATCGGATTCTGATTATTTGTGTAACTTGGGTTGGACATGTTTAAATATGACCTGCTTTCATGCCGGACCTTCGTGTGTAATTATTGAGTGTGCGCGAGTGCGTGTGCGTGTGTGTGTGCGTGTGTGCGTATAGGTGTTACCATTTAGGCTTAATTTTAAAGGTCCCATTCACGCTTACTGACTTTTTCTCTTAAAAAAAAAACAAAAAAAACAAAAAACAATTGTAAACCGCTTTGTGACTCTGGTCTGTGAAAGGCGGTATATAAATAAAGCTTACTTACTTACTTACTTTACTTTAGCCTTTCAATTGAGTTTTGAGTGTTGTGTGGAATTATCAGCGGATGGACTGTGAAACATTAAAAAAAACAAAATATGGGACCTTTAAAGGAAACATATTAAGCAGAATCAACATTGTTCCTTCATCAAAAACAGACCCAAAGTTGTTTTTGGATAAATCCACTCTAATATCAGGATCTTCTGATACAAAACATGAAACCCCGCCCCTTCTGTCAAAAAGCTGATTTCTCAGTCCTGTAATGGTGCTTTCAGACCGCCAACGCTGAAATGCTGAAGCCCCGCTCACCAGATGCGCATTCTCTAGTTTTCAGACGCACGGGTCTTCACACCGAGATGTCCTAACGCCCACCGGAAGTGCCGGAAGTAGCCGGCCGGCTCTAATGCTAACAGAGCTATGCTGACGGCTTCTTGTGTACAGATCTTCTGTACACAGCTTCGAGTGAACACACTCGAAGCAGTTGCATGAGGTCACGGGAGCATGACAACACATATTTTCACAAGCACACAGTCCCCCATTGTCAACCCTGGTTTGAGTTCTGGTGAAGTCTGGTGTGGGTCCTGTTTTGGCTGTTTACGAGTATTTTCAGTCTGCTCCCTCAGTCCGCTAATGTCCCCGTGACCACTTTGCTGCTCTCTGATTGGTTGTTGCACAAACGTCCCAAGGAAAGGATGAGCAGAATCCATCTCCTGTGGGCGTTGATTTTTCGCTCCTGCTCCTCCCCTTTGACTTTCCCGCCCAAGTCCGTGCGTCTCTACTGAACAGTCCGTCCGTGCGTGCCGAGCGGTCCGTCCGTGCGTTGCGTTGTGACGGTCGAACACACGTCACCATAGACTTTGCATTGAAAGCCGACGCAACGCATGATCCGGTCTGAAAGCACCATAAGAGCATGATGTCATTGTACCACTATCAACCTCAGAAAAGTTTTCACTCTTTTAATACAAAAGTATTGACCATTAATTAGTTTTGGTCTTTTTTCAAGTGAAATTACATCATTTGCGGTCACACGCCAGTGTTTCAGCTGCTAATTTAATAGAAAAATTCTAACCTCTCCCTAGTGGTAACACAATAGTACTGCTGTATTCCTTTACTTCCACTAGGGGGAGGGGCTGATAGCGTTATTTACCCTTGACAGTTGTTTATCTATTTTCTACTTAAAAGTAAATGGGTTTCATTATCATTATTTATGGTCAAATTTAAAACCTCTTAATAGTTTAATAGTTTTTTTATATACTTCTTTTATACATTTTATATATATTGTAAAAGATTTAATGATTAAAAGGAAAGCCGTATCAAAGTATCACACTGTTGCGGTAAACGACCATTTGGATGATTATGTTTGAGACATTGCAGATCGTTAAGTCTTCGGTCCTAGTCATGTGTTCATAGTGCAACATTCAATTAGGAGGGTGTAAAGCGGTTAATGAGCTCTTAAGGTGAACAGCCCTGAGCAGCGGCGGCTCTGCAGGGACCAGGAAGTGCTGATGTTTGTGCCAGCCCGGGCTGTAAAAATGAAATCAATTAACACATTTCGGAGATCATAAAAACGAAATATGACCCATTATTTTTGGCCGCTGAAAAAGGATGATAAGGCTCTTTCCTTTGTCAGTTCATGTTTTAGAATGTGAAGCAGAAAATCAAGTAGAAAATACATGCTTTAATAAGTATGAAGGGTAATAATCCTTTCCGCCTGTAATTGCCTGTGCTACCACCAGACGGAGAAATAGTTTTGTTTTTTCCAAATTAAAAAATGACCTGTGTTTGCAACTGGTAATTGTAGATAACTAATTAAAAAAACGTATTTAGGGGAAATACTTTTGTTGTAAAAGGTAGACAGCTGCTCAGAGTGTGATGTCATAGACTAGAGGAAAAAGGATTTAACCTATTATGTGTTTTAGTAGTAGGAAACCGGGATTGAATCATAGTAATTTTCTTCTACACTTGTTAGTGCCACAGCGTGAGAATTGCTGATTTTGCACAATATGTCTAATTTTTTTTTTTTTTCTTTTTTTGCATGGGTTTTATATAGTGCTTTTTTGGACACTCACTCACACGCTTCACATGTCCTTATTCATTCACTCCATACACGGTGGTGATAAACTACTACTGTAGCCACACCTGCCCTGGGGCACACTGACAGAAGCGAGGCAACCAGTCTGTGCCATCGGCCCCTCCCACCACCACCAACCATTCACACACACACCAGACTCATTCTAGGCAAAGTTAAGTTCCCAAAGGTTAAGTGTCTTGCCAAGGACACAACGACAGCAGACAGTGGGAGTCAGTAGAGAAAGTCTTGTGGCGGGAACCCACGATCTTCAGGCTCAAAGGCCAATGCTCTACCAACTGAGCTACTGTCGGCCCCTAAACACGTCTCATACTTTTTGTATGTCTTACTTACTTTTTACAGATACCCTTAACACAGTCTTAGAATGTCATGGTCCATCAAGAATGTATAAAGTTGGGGCTAGGATTAGAGTGTGACCAACTTTGAGGAAAAAAAAACCCTATATGGTGTAGATTGGATTATTTAGTTCCTTCTGCTTGAAAACCTACATGTAGACTAAGAAAAAAAATTGCTTTGTTTGTTGCGTCAATCTTTCCATAACTCTTTGGCTGATTAGAAGCGTGACGTCTTCTATAAAAGACATACCACGATCGGCAGCCAGTATTCTTGGATACATTTCACAGTTTTACACAGTAAGGGAAAAACTATTTGTATTCACATTGAAAGAAACCAAAAAGTGACTATGAATATGAACTCTATTCTCCTCGCTCCATTGTCCCCGAGTGTTTTTAAGCCAAACACAGTCAAATGTTTGCCGGAGTCAATATTTGCAGCCTGTTCCTGCGCCGACTCTGTGTGACTCTGAGCGAATGCTATTGATCGCGCCGCATTTGACAATTTTTCCACAGCTTCAGCACCAAAAGTTAACAAGAGATCAGTCATGCAATACAAGGTGCCAGAGGAACGCGGTGCCGTCTGTGTGCTGCTTTATGATGTGTCTGTGTGAAAAGCTGGAGCCATTTGGAGGCTGAGGGTCAAGAAAACCACAGATATTGGAAATCAATAAGCAATTGTTTACCAAAGTAAGATCCGTACCATGCATCAGAGCCGCAAATCATGGCAGCATCATTCGCCACAACACCGGAGAAAACAAGCTCCTACATATGGTTTGATAACCCTAACCCATAGTCTGGAAC